ATTGGTTTCCAAGGCACCACATTCTCCTGGTTCCTCTTAACTCTACTTTTAAATCATTTAGATATTGGCATTTCCCAGATTCTATCCTTAGGTTACTATTGTACCCACTTTACATACTTTCCTATGAGGTTTTGTACTATTGCCCACAGGTTGACAAAATCCTGAATTTAGACTTCTTTCTTGAGCGGTATGTGTGTGTTTATCTTTAGTTCCCTCTTCTTCCTTGACTATTCAGCTTCTCCATTTGGATGTCAGTCATCTCAAACTTAACGTGTTGAAAAGCAAATTCTTTTTTTTATTAGTTTCAGGTGTACAACACGGTGATTCAAAATTTTATCTATTTTAGTCTGTTTGAAGTTATAAAATATTGGCTATATTCTCTACACTGTACAATATATCCTTGTAGAAAAGCATATTCTTGAGTTCCCTTTCCCAAACCTATTCCTCAAACCATTTTTCCTCTCTCAGCTCATGGTTCCAAACCTCCATTTGCCTAGCCCCCAAAACTTGAAGTAATCTTGAATTTTTCTCTTTTTCTTGCACAATACATCCAGTCTATCAATAAATCCTGTCCTTTCTACCATCAAAATATATTCAGAATCTGATCACTTTCACCAACTGTACTGCTACTACCCTTATCTAAGCCACTATTACATCTCATCTGGATTATTACAGGAGCTCCTAACTGGACTCCCTGCCTCTGCCTTTGCTCCCCTCTAGTCTGTGTTCTACTGAGCAACCAGAGTGGATTTCTGACCACCTTTCTGACCTTATCTCCTACCACAATACCCAGAAAACACTCTTATCACACCATGTATGTTCCCAGGCAATTATGCTTCCCCTATGCTCTACCTGGAGCATTCTCTCACATACATATGCACGACTCACTCTTTCACATTAATAAATCTTTACTTAAATATCTCTTCCTCAGGAAGGAATTCTCAATATTCCATATAAAAAGCTCTTCCCCCATTATCCTTTCCTAGTCCCACTTTACTTTTTCTTGGTGATCCTTTGTTTTTTTCTTACCATAACTGACACATTACACATATACTTTTCCTCAGGCTTCAGAATTATAAACACTCATTATTGACTCATCACACTATTTGTTTATTTAATTAACTAGTTGTGTGTTTGTTTTTGATACACAGCTGTAAACTCATCATTTAACCCAGAAACTAGAAACACAAATCATTATCCATATATAATTTTTAAATTAAAATATAAATTTTCTTCTCCTACCCTCACTACAGTATAAGCTCCACGAGTACAGGGAATTTGTTTTATTCCTTCTGTGTGCACAGCATCTAGAACAGTGCCTGACACACAGGCACTTGAAAATAAAGTAAGCACTGCACATTTATATACCAATATTTTCAAGGGTAGTGTAACTTTCATCATGTCTAAAACCAGAATTAAATCCCCACATCTTTACCCCTGTTCTCCTTTCTCTCTCTGCACTCCTTCCCTTGACTTCCCTTCTTCCTACCACTTGACGTTTTTCCCCAGAAGCACAGGACTGCTCCCGCCCTGCCTTTGATCATGCTAACTTCCCTGCCTGAAGGAGACCATCCGCCACTCCCCCACCCCCGCACCATGGCTCCGGGAAAACTATAACTTTTTCTTCAAGAAGGTCACCAGTCACCTCCTCAAACACACTGTCTCTGCCCCCTCCTTCCCCTTTTTCTTTCTCAGGGTTCTCCCACACCAATCTCTATCCCTTGTGCTCACACACTATGCTTCTGTAATTATCTTTTCCAAGAAGCTGAGAGCTCCTTGAAGTTCAGGAAGCAAGTTGAAGCCCTCATTTATGATCTTTTCCCACTTCCTCAGAAGATAAATAGAAGCAGACATTAGTATGTTCAGTTCACAGATTGAGAAACTGATTTCAGAGGAAGAGAAAAAGCCCAGAACCCCTAGGAATCCTCTTGAGATCTCTTCCTACCACTTGGGTAGAGGGAATGTTCCTCGTGTCTTTGGTAAACCTTGCTGTAAGCCTGGGTTCCTCCCTGTGCCCCTCTGGAAGGTAACCATGGATACTACTGAGCTGGCACAAAAGCCTTCGGTTAGTGGAGACTACCAGTGGTTTTCAGGATGCTTCAAGGGTTTTGAGGTGAGGGGACAAAACCTGGAAACCGTGGCGAAGGTAAGACTTTTGCCTCAGGCTCTTGGTCTGGGTGTATTTCAGTTAGGGTGGGCCCTAATTCTCAGCAGAGCCCCTAAAAGGTGACCGGACTGACTAGGATATTAACTAGCTTTGAGTTGAGAACCAAAGAGAATCCCAGACGTCTCCTCTTCTTGGAAAGCAGGAACCCCTCTGTGAAATCTTGAGCAGTGGGCTGACTCAAGCAATACTAGCAGCAGCTCGGGCTCCTGGGGTGATCCAAGCCACAGAGCCTGGAGACAATGGGGTCTCCTGTCCCCAGTCAAGGGGAGCTTCCAGTGGTGCCTTGTCCCTACCTGCGTTCTTGCCTCAAGGGTGTGTTTCTTTTCGGAGCACTGGACCACAGGCAGGCAGGAGAAATTCACACCGAGGATGTCACTGGGATGCACCTTAATTTCCTTACTGACCGCTGTGAGGGCACCCACGTGCATTCTCCGACCCTAGGAGTCCTGAGTCTTCGCTGCTATCACTTTACTCTCAAACAAGGAACGTCTGGAGGGTAGAGATCTAGGGAGCCCCACTTGCTCCTTGAAGGGCGAGGGACTGGGCCCCAACTTTCCAGTTCCCGCCAGCAGTGTCACGCCTCCCAACGTAGGACCGGGAAGCCAACCACACAAAAGATTCAGTTCCGCTGGTGGAGGGGGAGGTAGGGGTCAGTGTCAATGAGGTGTGTGCGGCTAAGCCTCCTTGTTTTCTGAAACGAAATCTTCAGGGGAGGGAGGGAAGAGGAGGGTGCAGGAGATGGACTTGGGGGCGAGAGGTGGAGGTGGCGGCCGTTTCCCGGCGTTTTGACGTAGACTTGAAGAGGCGCCGAGCACTCCCACTGCTTAAGAAGAGGCACCGTAACCTTCAGGACGCTGAAGGTGGGGACCGCCGCTTGCTCAGGGAGCAGTCTGGACATTTTCTCTCCACGCACTCCAAGGAATCCAGAAAGGGCTGCGCAGGTAAGTGCGGAGGGGCTCGCTTCTGTGACCTGGGAGTCAAGCCTCGGAGTAAGGAGGCTAATGGGGCACGAAGGACACAGGGTGTTCCAGGCAGCTCCGCCCTGAGGAGGGAGAGGTGGTGGAACCAGGTGCGGGATCGAGACGTACGGAGCACAGCGCGGGGCTTATGGCAGGACACACGCAGGATCCCAGGGCTGAGGAACTTCCAGGCTTGGGGAAGACTCTCGGAAGGGGAGGGATCCTGACGGAGCCAATGTGAGCGCTGCGGCGCGAGCGGGCAGCGAGTCCCGGACTCTCCAACTTCAGCACCCTGGACAGTATCCCGCCCCTGCTCTTCTAATAAACTTAGCACTGACAGCTTCGACTTGTCCCCTAAGAAAAAACTTTTGCGGCCCCTCGACTTTGATATTTTAGTTCAGAAGAGGACATATTAAATTTGATTTTGTTCAGGTAGGTATCCTGTGTAAATAATCTGAAATATAGAGGAAATATTTTTGAATAATTTTGTATCTCAACATGCCTCTTCAGGAATGTGCCTGTTCAAAGACAGTTTCTGAAATACCGGTTTAAGGGAGACTCAATATGTTTTGCTGCTGTACAGAAGAGAAAGATTCCATCTCATGGTGTTATCATGAAATGTTTCCAATATAGACATATTCTCATGAGAATTCCCATGAGCTGTGCCATGCTTGCCTTCATGATACTAACAGCTAAAAGATTTGGAAATATAAAACTGAAAGTCAGCTGTATATGCCCTCCTGCTTTTTCTTTACACTAGAGTTGTTTAAGTTTAATATACATTTTGTATATCATATACATTTGTGAAGATTCAGGTAAACCTTTTTTCCTGGGAAAAAAATTGGTTTGTTTTTATTATTATTTTTTTTTGCGGTACGCGGGTCTCTCACTGCTGTGGTCTCTCCCGTTGCGGAGCACAGGCTCCGGACGCGCAGGCTCAGTGGCCATGGCTCACGGGCCCAGCAGCTCCGCGGCATGTGGGATCTTCCCGGACCGGGGCACGAACCCGCGTCCCCTGCATTGGCAGGCAGACTCTCAACCACTGCGCCACCAGGGAAGCCCGGTTTATTATTATTTTAAGTACATCATTTCTCATTGGACTTGTCTGAAGTGTAACATAATAATTTCAAAGTGTATATGGATGTCTTGGTTTTATTGTAACCGGCTGTGAAAGCCAGAAAAGCTGAATGAGAGGCAAATAATTTTTGTTAAAATTCTTGAGATTTATAGCAAGATGAGAAAAGATCATCTTTATGAAAATTATGTCAGAATTGCAGAACATTTCAGGTGTTTATAAAATGTTTATTAATTCTACTCTAATGGGTTGAATATACCTTGGTTCCCATACGTTTATCACACTACCTTGTGTTTATTTTTACTTATAACATTTTACAATTCTTACGCCTTTTTTTAATAATAAAAGGAACCATAATAGGAAAGCATCCAAGGGTAAAATATGTTCAAATTCTTAATTGCATGGGAGTCCTGGTTTAGGATAGCTAGGCTAAATTATGCAATTATAGAATAATAAAAGCCATGTAGCAAGACGGAAAAATTTCACTTAATACTCTTTTAAACTATATTTCTCTGTACTAGGGAAAAACAAGTTTGCTTATTTATCTTACAAAAGAGCACATCTTAGGAATAAATCTTTCTTAATCTAAGCATCTTGGTTTTGTACTACCTGGCTTGACAGTGCATCACTTTAGATAGAATGGGGCTTGTGAGATGGGAGGTAGGATAAGACTTTTCCCAGAGATGATGGTATGTTTCCTTTGCTGGCACCAAAGTTCTTAAAGGCATAATTATTTTCTTTACTGAGTGGAGCACAAGCAGGAACTCATATGAAATATTTCCATCTTGCACAGTTTCAAGGCCATGGCCAACCCTGGGAACAGAGGAGGGATCTACCGCCACTTGAGTCTCACCTGCTCCCTGCTCATTGTGGGAATATGCTGTGTGTCTCCTTTCTTCTGTCACAGCCAGACAGATCTGCTGGCTCTTAACCAAGCTGATCCTCAGTGCTGGGAATCTTCCTCGGTACTCCTCCTAGAAATGTGGAAGCCTCAAATTTCCAACACTGTTTCAGGTTTCTGGGATTTTATGATCTACCTGAAGTCATCTGAGAACTTGCAGCATGGGGCATTGTTTTGGGATCTGGCCCAACTCTTCTGGGACATCTATGTGGACTGTGTCCTCTCCAGAAACCATGGCTTAGGAAGGAGGCAATTGGCTGGAGAGGAAGAGAAGATCTCAGCAGTGCATCCACAGCACGCAGGGAGAAAAAAAGGTGGTCAACCCCAGGTCCCATGTCTTTTGAAAGGATCAATCAAGTGTGAATGTGCTGAATTGTGAGGAAGAGGGAAGTGGCTTTAGGGCAATCCATTGCCACACATAGCCTCCTCAGGGGTGAGCCCAAAGAGTACGCAAGTGATAGGAAGATAGATAGCACTTCCTTTTGTAATTTACAGTAGCTCTTTTTATCAGCATATTGTCCTCATCTTCATACTTCAACAGCAGCAAAGAAGAATCAGAAAGACAAGTAGGAAAAGACATGATCCCTAAAATACAATATCAAGGTATAAAGGGATGCCCCCAAATTAATATTATTTTTTTCAGTAAGGCTGAACATTGGTAGTCATAACCTGTGTTCGCTTGCTATGGAATTGGGAAGATTTGAATATAAGCCTGGGGAAGGCTCTTGCCCCTTTTAAATAGAAAAACAAAAACAGAAACAAAAACTAATTGCTTTCATGTAAATGGGAAGGACTCCTTGAGATGTACTTACTTAGCTGATGGATAAATGGTAGAAAAATCAGCTGGCTTGCAAATTCACTCTTCCTTGTTTTCTGGAACAAATTGCAAATAAGTAATTAACTTCCAGCAAGCTGAGTAATTAATTTTTAGAAATCTGGAACTTCCTACAAATTTAGAGATTTTTCACTGAAGTAAATATGGTATTCAAATGCAGTCTTCTCCAGGGGCACTAGAATATCCTTTATAGAATTAGAAGGAGGGTGAATAAATCACTGTAAGCTGAGAATAACAGCCTTATTCATACTGTTTTTGTTCCTTTTTTGGTGTTGTTTCAACCAATGTGCTTCTAAAGCTTGCAGCAAGGGCTGTTTGGGTGGTAGTAACTATTTATGCACTAGTGGAAAACTGAAGCATAAATAATTTTTGCAATTGTACATTTGATTGTGAGAACTGTTATATGTTCCTGTAAAACATCTATTAAAATAGCAATTAACAGTAATAGTTATAGATCAATCTTTTCCCAAGATATTGTAGAACCTTTAAATATCTGGTTTGTTTTAACCTCAGTAACAAAAAATATTATTAGCTGATCCATAAAGCCAGATAATCCACTGCAATTATTTATAGATAAATTTATTAATTTGGCAAGTGTTATTGTCACTTAAACCAATTTCATTTTTTAGAGGAAATATTCTTTTAGCAGTTTAGCTACTAAAGCAGAAATACAAAATGACTATCTTTAAATGTTGGTTACCAATATTTTAAAAATATTTTGAACAGAGGCTTCCCAGGCATCAGCATCAGTAAGGACTGTATATTTTCTTCATCTGCACTGTAGGCTCTTTTTTCCATTCTTTTTTTTTTTTCCATTCTTACTCTACTTAACAGTGGTACTCAAATTACTACCACTATTTCTTGTTTTGTATTTTGCACTCACTTTGCACTTTAAGTATCTATAGAATAAATGAAAATAATGTTTGTGTTCAACTTAACAGGAAAATAATTATCTATAATTATATATTATAATTAATTAAATTATATAATTTAATTGTATATTAAAATTACATATATATATAATCTCAAAAACAGCTTTCAGTTTGCTTGCTTGCAACAGGCTACTATAATAGTCTGAGACTACATGTAATTTTCTGAGCATACTTCAACATGGCATTTCTATCTTCTTTTTTCAAAAAAAAAAAAGTAGATTTGTCTTCAGCTTTGGAAGTCACTTCCTTCATCTTGCTACAGAGTTGCTATTGACCCAGCTGGTCTGCAAACTTTACTAGGAGTTGCTTTGCAAATATTAGGGGTAAACATTTCACTTTATTGAAGTTATTTTAATGTTTGACATAATTGTTGCAGACCAAGAAATAAGACTTTCCATTTGTATTGTATGATCAGTCAAAGAGGGTCTTGGGTCAAGAAGACACCCTGTCTGAAAGTTAGTTTCAGGAACATCGAGATATCATCTCAAGAGGCTTGATTGAATCTCTAGTGGCTCAACTGGGCTCTGGATGTACCTGCACAGATTCTTCACTAATTTTTTCCTTTGTCCCTGGGGAATTAATATTCTACTAGGTTGGGATGGGGGTGAGGGTGAAGAGGTGTTTGTCTCCATAGTTCTCAAGGAAATCACATCATCAGAGCAGAAGAGAAACACTAAAATAAGTGTCTACATAATACCTGGAAAGGTTCTTGCTATTTTGATGTCTTCAAGTTAAATAGTTTAAATTCACTTGAGAAATGTTGCAATGAATCATGCCTTATTAAAAACACAAAACTCCTATATAACTTTGTATGTTAATATATTTGTTAATATTGAGTCAGTAACTATGTAAACAAGAGCTATCAAATAGCTACGTAACCTTGGGCAAGTTAATTGACTTATTTAGCTCTCAGTTTCTTCATCTGAAAACGAGGGATATGGGAAGAATTAGAAGGCCCTTAAAGTCTCTTCACATTCTGTGTTCTGAAGTTCTGTGATTCTATAAACAATAAATGTATGAAAAGCGTGGATTTAACTACAGAAAGAATCTGGAAGAGCCTTACTCCAAGGAGAGCTTACCGAGCTGAGTGATGACCTAGACATTGTGGTGGTTTATAACTTTAATAAGCAGAAACAGAGGTGATCCAGAAATGAGAATTCCAAAAATTCTGAGGGCCAAAGTTATCATCGTTTGAGAAGACTCAAAAGAGCATTGTTATTTTGTCTAGAAAGATACAAGCTAACAACTGAGTGCCAAAATGGTCAGAAGGCTGAAGAGGATATACCCAGGCTTCACTACTAAATTATGATGGATTCTGTGAAGGCAGAGAGAGAGAGAGAGAGAGAGAGAGAGAGAGAGAGAGAGAGAGAAATTGATTTAGGAAAAGAGTAGGCTGATAATATCTCCCAGATAGAAAATAACAGAGTTGAGGTTAACACAAGGGTTAGTAAAGGCTTTAATACAAATGAAACGATTTTGAAGTATATCCTTGTTTGTGTCAAAAATGATGATCTCTTCCTTCAACAAATCTTGCTCTGCCCCCGAGAGGAACAGAAAAACTTACCTGCCTGAACCTGGCAGTTTGGACGGTCTAGAAAAATTGTGAGTCTTTGCTTTCCTCCGTGACGTGAAAGTTAAAATTTAGATTTATAATTTGATGATGTTTGCAGTCAGTGTATAACTAGCTGGCAAATGTTCATAATGCTTATTTTTTAAACATTAAGCAGAAGAGAAAACAATGCTTCAGAAATATAAGTTAGATTCACAAATGCTTGATTTTCTACTTTACTCACTCTGAGAAATTTTGTAAGCAACATATTCAGAAATTACCAATCTAGAAATCTATTCTAAAGGATCGTTCAGAGCTGTAACCAACTTTGCAGTATAAGGCTCTTCACTGCAATATTATTTATAGCAACAGAAAATTGGAAATAATCTAAATGTCCCATAATAGGGTAATGGTAAACTAAATTATGGTATAAAGTATGTATGTGTAAAACTATGGTTCTCTCTGGAAGATTATATTATGGGTGGTTTAAACATTTTTCTTTATATTTTTATATTAAAATGATATGATGACAATTTTTTACTTTTTTAGTCAGAAAAATATATTTTAATACATATTAATCAAATAGGAAATATATTTATTATAATCTACTTAATTCATATTATATAATTAAACTTCATAGGACACAAAGTTTTGCATAAATAAAAATTTCAAATACACCTCTGCAAAAAATCTATACAGAATATTAAGAGCCGAGTGGCAGAAACAGCAAACATTCTTTTAAAAACCAAGTCATTGATACTTAATTAGCCTGAAAATAATTTGGTGACCTAATGACGAGTTGCTTTTCTCTACTTTCAGGTGTATATCCTCAGCAACCAAGAATCCCTTCCCTAAAGAAGAAAGAGTTGATTGAAGGCTTGATAAACATGCATGTACATAGGAGTGGGTCTAAGTTCATTGGAAAAGTGACCAGTAGCCTGGAAATAAAGAGAAAATAAATCGAACCTCAGACTTAATGCACATCTTGGAATTTAAATATATATATTTTTTTCTTGACTACTGATCGTTTATTTACTTGAAAGGGTGGGAGCATCCAGAGATGCTTAAGCCACATTCTCTGAGTACTTAGTTTCATTCTTTTAGGCTGCTAGCATGTTCCTTCAGGTGGCGACATTACTGCCAGATCATCCCACTGTCTGAAACAGTTAAAACAGCTTCCAAAGATGAGTAGGGGATTGTGCTACTCAGATTCTTTGTATTCATCTTGATCATTGTTTCGGGATGCTTGACGTTGTTAATGAACTAGAGTGCCACACATTTAACTTGAATACACTGCATGACTTTGAAATATTAACCACTGGATTGTTTATGCACAGGCCAATAAGAGACTATATTTATTAATTACCAGTTATTGGTGGTAGTTACTTGAATTTTGTTTGAAAGAATATTTTTGAATATTTTGAACTGAGTGAAGCAAAAAACAAAACACGAAACTGGTGAATAAAGCATTCTTCTAATAGAAACAAAATGAATAAAAGCTCTCGACCCCAAGTAATGTTATTGGAGTCTTTTTATTTCAATATTTAATGTGACCATTAATGATAATCCAAACTCTAATAAAATAGCAGTAGGTATAAATTTTTTCTCAGTTAGCATATTTTCTATTGGATTAAATATTAAGATTATAACTGGTTACACTTTACATTGAAAAGAAAAGTAAAAATCAAACGAACAGCATTATGAGAAAAGAACCCATAAAAATATTTGCTCTCAAAATGACCAGGCTTGAATGAGGTTCATAGCAAAGAAGTCCAATTAACAAATATATTTGAGTTCCAGACACAATGCTATTTTTATCTCTAATTACGCTCATCTCTCCAATCATTCTATTATAATTGATGGTTGACAACCAGTTTGAATTTCAGATATGTTAGCATTTCACTTGCTTTTCCCAGGTCCAAAGGAAGCCTCAGTAAGTGTTTTCACTGAAGGTTTATGGCCCTCCTTAAGTGAAAAATCTTATCCAAAGGGTTCTTATTAGAAGACACAGATGCATCTGAAGATTAGCCAAATCTTAACAATAGGGGAAGCAAGTCTGGGGAAGGAACTGGGGAGGGGGTCCAGCCTCAGCGTTAACTTGATTAGAAGAATAAGCACATTAAAAGCTGCCACTCTTTGACTACCATTTCTACAGAGGCTCATGGTTTTGCTTCTGTACTACTTTCTCTAATGTCTTGCATCATATTCTTAAAAACTATTATATAAACTCATTACCTCTTATAAATCGCTGAAGAGATGCCTGCCCCTTGCTCCTCCCACACCTTGGTACTACACAACGGGGGCTGCCAATTTTTTCTGATGCTTTGTGGGCCATCCAGTCTCTGGTGCAACTAATCAGTTCTGTCTTTGTAGAATTAAAGCAGCTGCAGATAATATGTAAATACATGAGCACGGCGGTGTTCCAATTTTAAAACTTTGCTCGCGGACACTGAAATTTGACTCCATGTCATTTTCAACTGTTACAAAATATTACTCCTCATCTGATTTTTTCAATTATTATTTTTTAAATGTAATAATTTCACAGGCTGCACAAAACTGGCAGTGGGCAGATTTGGCCTATGGGCTGTAGCTTGCTGACCAGTGCTCTGGGGCATACTTAACAAACTTGTAAGGAACAAGCTGGAATGAAGTAAGAAGGAGAGTGAATATGTTGAAAAACAAAACCAAAATAAAAAATTCATGATAGGCTGAAAAACAAATTCAAAAAGATTAGGATGAGACTGAACAGGTGTAACCTAGTCTTAATCCTACCCAGTTGGACATTATTTCACTTTGGAAACATTACTAGTAGTTATGGATCATATAAATAAGAGCCCAGAGCCTCTCTGAATGTAATATGGACTGCACATCAAGAAAACAGGTGAAACAATGGAACCATAACAATATTTATTTAGAGAAAGTGCAAGCAGTGGTTAGAATACAGGCTTAGGAGCTGGGTTCGAATCTCAACTTTGTCAAGTAGTGACCAAACGACTTTGGACAAGTTACTGACCCTCTTTGTGCCTCAGTTGTCTCATAAAAAGAGATATCTACTTACCAGGTTTGTTGTGAGGTTTAAATTAGTATTAATACATACATGGGGCTTAGAAGCTAAGTGCTCTCACAGTCAAAAAATGTTAGCTACTACTTTGGACATTATTAAGCATCTATACCCTAGTCATACATACAGAGGATGGAGACACACAAGTACTTTGGCCAAATTCAATGAATGTGGGGGTTTAGTGAGAAACATTCATGTTTTTAAAATAAATTTATTTTGAGATAATTGCTGATTCATATACGTTGTAAGAGATAATACAGAGACATCCTGTATACCCTTCATCCAGTTTCCCTTCATAGTAACATCTTGCATAACTATAGTACAATAACACAACCAGAAGATTGACATTGGTACAATCCACAGAGTTCATTCAGATCTCACCAGATCTGCATGCACTCAAGTGTGTGTCTGATATGCACATATGTGTGTGTGTGTGTGTGTATGTGTGTGTGTGTGTGTGTGTGTGTGTGTGTATTTAGTTCTTTGCCAAGCCTATTCTCCAGCAGGAGCATCTAGATAGAATATTAGGTCATCAATTCGGTAATTCAGATATTGAAGAAGATAGTTGCATGAATTCCTGTAGATCACACACTTGAATATTACTACCAATGTATTCAAAGAAAGGGCCTCTATTGGAAATGCAGCACATCTGGATTTGACTTGGGTCCTTCTTTCCATTTTCCTCTATCACTCCTCATTCCCAAGGCTTTACTCTGAAGAACAAAGACACATGTGTAGAGACGTTAAAAAATAAAATTTTCTTCATGCTTCATGCCAGACTATTGAGAAAGAGGTAGAAGGTTTAGTTCTTTTAGTACAGATTTTGAAAACACGTTTCGTCATCACCACAAGTCTGGACTCTTTTTCACTTCAAGTTGGGCAAAGTGATCTGATCAACAAGGGCAGAGAAGGCCCTGCATACTCGCTCAGCTCCACAATACAGGTCCATATTTACTGAAGATTGCAGGTCTGAAAACAACAAACAGGAAAGTCCTTCAGAGAAAGCACCTGTAGGTTCTCAAGCTGATCTTAATAAAGCTCTAGCACAGAGAAGAAATAAAATCCATCTCTCTGCAGTTCCTGATGGCAATGCCCTTTCTCTAAGCTAGCTTGCAAATGAGATGGGTATCATTTACCATGATCAATTACTAATTCAACCAAGTTTTGGGTTCTTTTTTTTTTTTGCGGTACGCGGGCCTCTCACTGTTGTGGCCTCTCCTGCTGCAGAGCACAGGCTCCGGACGCACAGGCCTAGCGGCCATGGCTCACGGGCCCAGCCGCTCGGCAGCACGTGGGATCCTCCCGGACCGGGGTGCGAACCTGTGTCCCCTGCATCGTCAGGCGGACTCTCAACCACTGCGCCACCAGGGAAGCCCAAGTTGTGGGTTCTTAAAGAGCATTTTCCCATAACTTCAAGCACGAATCTGAGTAGCCAGAAAGCCCAGTCTAGAGCAGTGGTTTTCAGACTCTGGTGTATGTTAAAATCATCTGGACAGTGTTAAAATACATTGCTAGGTCCCACCCTCAGAGTTCTGATTCAGAATACATGATGGTTAATTTGATGTGTCAATTTGATTAGACTGTGGTGTCCAGATATTTGTTTAAACATTATTCTTGGTGTATCTGTGAAGGTGTTTCTGGATGAGGTTAACCTTTGAATTGGTAGACAGAGTAAAAGCAGATTGCCCTCCCTAATGGGATGGACCTTGTCCAATCAACTGAAGGCTTGAATAGAACAAAAAGTCTGAGTAAGAGAATTCCTTCTGCCTTACTGTATTCCAGGCGAGACATGTTTTCTTCTGCCTTTGGACTCAAAAGGAAATATCAGCTCTTTCTAAGGCTCGAGCCTGCCTGCTTTTGCATTGGAACTACACATTGGCTCCTCTGGGCCTCCAGCTTGCTGACTACTGATCTTTAGACTTGCTAGCCTCCATAATTATGTGGGCCAATTCCTTAAAATGAATCTCATTCTATATCTATATATACATCCTGTTTGTTCGGTTGCTCTGGAGAACTCTGACTACCATAATACATCAGGGATGGGGCCCAAGAAATTGTGCTTCTCATAAGTTCCCAGGTGATACGGATGCTGCTGGCCTAGGGAAGATGCTCTGAGACCTCTGCTCTATAGTTACTGATTAATGGTTTGAGTGGTCCCCTATGACCTATTGTAATAGGAATTGTGTTGTAGAAAGCTCTACAATTTGGCAGTTATTAACCAAAAGTTGGATACGCATAATTTTTAAGCTAAAAGTTCCATTTCTAAGAATTGATCCTACAGAGATATTTACATATGAATACAAAGATATATGCTATAAGAATACTCACCGAAACATTCTTATGATAATAAAAAATTGGGAGCAACTGAATTACACACCAATAAATAAATTATGGTATATTTATACCCTGGGATATTATGCAGCACTTAAAAAAATCACACTGCCCAATGTCTAAGATATTTTGTCAAGTGGAAAAAGCAAAACAAGCACAACCTAACTTATGTTGAGAAAGTAAAGACACATATATGCAAAGAAAAAAAGTCTGAAGGAAAAACTCACTAAACTGCCAACATTTTTTACCTCTGAGAAACAGGTGGCCGGGAGTGAAGGACATGATGATAAATTCATTTTTGAAAAACATGTGCACTTAGGCATTTTAATTCTACAATGAGCATGCTGTATAGTATTGTTTGTATAATAGTTTGTTATACACTTTACATGATTTATTATGGCTCCATCTGTGCTGTTTTCTGTTGAACATAAGAGAGGGTTCATGTCGTTTTAATGTCCATTCTCTAACACTGCCCCAGAGCTACAAGGACCTTGAAAAAATATTATTTTATTGCCTGAAAAAAAAACTTTGTCCAGAGGCAAACTTATTTTAGGATATTCTATTCCT